TCTCTTTAGAAACTTTCAATAGCCTGATTATTCCTTTTTTTTTTTCCCCCATTGCTTTTTTTGGCTCTTCTATTCTGAGACTGAGATTCTTGATGGCACAAATGGTTTGTGCTCAACTGCTGAATTAAAGTTTGGTCATTCTAACCCATTCAGCAGAGAAAAGACCTGGTAATCTGTTCCTGCTAAGATTATAGCCAAGAAAACCCAGTGGAGCAGTTCTAGCCTGTAACACATAAGGTTGCCATTAGTCAGAATTGACTCAGTGAGACCTAATAACAACAATAATTCTGAGGCTAGGAAACCAAACTGAAAAAGTCATCTCTACAGTTTTGCCTGTAGCTATAAATGGCAGTGAAGGCATCTCTCCTCAAAGGCCCCCAAATCTGCCAAATTTCCTGGCTTGCCTTTAATAAAGTAATAGACCAGTTTCCTGGGAGGGCTTTTTGGTTCTTTAAATAAATTTTAATCCTTGTCATACCTGATTCAAATTTTTTTCTCAAATATGCCACTGTATGTACGGCCTTGTATGTACCATCTATCTGTCCAGTTATATACAGAACTTAGAACAATTCTTACATAAATGACTGCATTATCATTAATATTAGGCATAATGAAAAGAAGTGTTGTTCCTGAATTGTGAGGTGTCAGTAAGAACAAGATTACCATTTAAAAATGTTTCATTTCAGTTTGCAAAAACATAGATTATTAAATTAATGGTGAGAAAGGGATCAGGAAGAAAGAGAAAGGGCTACATCATATACCCCTCAGAAGACAGAACATGAAAAGTTAATGCCAATGCTATTGTAAAACAAATAACCAAAATTATAGCTCCCTCATCAGTTCCTTCAGTCTCATGTAATTAATTTTTGTTTCACTGGACCTTGCATCAACAGTCTACTTTTATGAAGTCATCTGTCTGTGGACTAAAAAGAGTACCTAGTACTGTTTGACAGTTTTATAAGCAGTATCACTTTGCAAGCCTGTACCAGTGAATCTATTACTTGAAATGTCAATAGTTCAAATCTGGTACAATTCTTTGCATGAGATTTTGAGACTCTTTCTTTGTTAAAAACTCAATTTCTAGGCTGTGACTTACAACAGAGTGTTTAAGTCAGCAGGACAGGAAGCAGATCTACCTGTTGGTGAAAACACTGAATGACTATGGTTGATTTATTATAGTATTCACATGTCCTAATGGAAGAGAGTAGAATTTCCTCTTAAGTATTAAAAAAGCAAATCAGTGGCTGTTGAGTCAATTCCAACACATGATAACCCCATGTGTGTCAGGGTAGAGCTGGGTTCCATAGGGTTTTCAATGGCAGATTGTTTGGAAGTAAATTGCCCAGTCTGTCTTTCAAGGCACCTCTGGGTGGACTCAAAGTGTCAGTCTTTCATTAAGTAGCTGAGCGCTTAACCATTTGTGTCACCCAGGTC